TCAGCACCAGCTACTTCACGGAGAGGAGCCACAGTGGAGGATGGGGGGTGTCCCCGAGAACAAGTAAGGGGGGGCTAAAAGGGGGAGGAAGAGCGGAAGGGTTAGGTGTGGCGGCAATATAGGGAATCTCCTTCCATTTTCTCTGGCGCTGGCAGAGGTTAAACAAATCTCGGAGAATATCAGGTTCTAGTAGTGTGCCTTCTGGTGGCCATTTGTTTTGATTACTTAATTGGTATTGGGGCCACTCTTGTGTGCAGAGCTTTATAAGAAACTTAGCCTTGATATTGGGTTCTAAAGACAAAGTGTTGAGGTTTTTTATAAGACATTGAAGCGGGTAGTCCACTAAAGGTGACGAGGGGGAAGCTCCCATGTTCAGGCAGGAAGGAGAGAGGAAGGTAGGGAGGTGGAGAAGAGAGAATCCTTTGGCCGGTGGGAGGGAAAGACACAAATATAGAGGGCGTCCCCACTATAATGTGCCAGTCCCGGAGGTTCAGGGACGAACCGGGAGGGAGGAAGGTATAAGTCGTCACTTTACCTTCCGTCACCTCGGCAAGGGCGAGTGCCTGGAGGCTCAAAGGAACCCGGTGCCGGGATTTTCGGGAGCCCTGGGCTCGGAGAAACAGAAGCAGTAAATTGAGAGAGAATGGGAGCTTTGCCCTGCAAGGATTGCCTTTAACTTTGGGTTGGGAGAGGAGTAGAATGTGGACGGTCTGGTGTGACGAGGGAGTATTTAGGGGTCCACTGAGGCCCTGAAGGCCATAGTGGGGCGTACTGCCCCTGTTAGGGCTGGACGCCGGAGGGGTAGTCCTAGTTTAAAATGGCACCTCTAAAGGGAGACTTACGTTTGGATGAGCTGGTGGTGGGTACGGAAAGCCAGCGCCGGAGAAAATGGATGAGGGCGAAGCGTCAGCAGCGGGAACCGCAGAGAGAGTGAAGGAGGTCCGAGAAGGAGTCCCCTCGGGTAAGGGGTGAGCTCCTCCCGGGTTTTGGCACCAATGAAAGAACAACAGGAGATGAGCTGACAGTTCACCGGAGAAGTTCCGTTTTATTTGAGGGTGAAGCATACATTTATAGAGAGCTGAGTTCCGGGAGAGGGTGGTTAGTCCGTGGGGCGGTGGCTGATTGGTCAGAAGGGTGGGTGACGATTTTGATAGGCCGTACTTTGGCGCTGGCGGGAATGTTAGGACCTGGAAGAGAAGCCGGAAAGGCGCCATGTTTTAGGGAATGTCTCCTTTGGGGTTTTATGGGGCCCTACAGTTATATAGTGCGTTTACCGGGTAAGTAATTAAAATCTCGGTTTATAATGAACCATAGGGGGAAAAATAACTCCAGCATAACTTTCTATTCTCAGTAAAGCCCATTTTGATTCATGAACACCACTAACAGCTATGAATGAAACAGACCGTTCAGCTGAGAACAGAAGCCTCCACGCAGTTCCAGTCTACTAGCTTGCTGATTGTTAATGGGTGTTTATGTAACAGGCTTGTGCAGTGAAAGCCCAGAGTTGGTTAAATCTGAGGCTGTTTGTTTCTGGCCTCTTGTCCAATAGGTGGGATCTAGGGCAAAATTTCTGGGTTCTCACATTCTTCTCTCCTCTGTTGATCTATTTTACTTCTGCCTTTGACACTCCTGTTGCTCCTAATCTGTGCTGCTACGTTGTTGTCCCTTATTTATATTCTGTGGAAATGTGGATACTGGTTTCCCGATTCAACAAGTGTGCATTCTGTTTTCCAGGAATACTTTGACTGCCTTGGGAATGTCCATAGCTCCCTGAGACCTCCAGAACCCAATTTATGTTGTTATATTCTCAGTGTCCTGCAGGAAATAGTGTACTACGCCAATGGCTTCTGCCTTAAGGATAACCTGCTTTTTGTAAGTGGTTTAAAAAAAAAAAATCCTGGGCCAGGGAAATGAGAAGATTTTAGCTAGTGATTTCTACAGTGAAAATAAATAATTTGAATGTTACAAACGGTCTTTTCAGGAGTTACTGTACTAGCCTTTCTTCAACTGTCCGCTGATTCCAGCACGTAAATAAATCCTTTCTTCAGAGGCATTAGGAAGTGTTGCAACAAGTGTAGTTACAGCAGATAAATTTAGCTCACATATTTTATCTACATAATCTGATTGTAATTTATATATCTCAGCCTAGATAAGGCAAAGCCATTTCTTATGACCAGATTTTTCTTTTTGTCAACATGATGTGAGTGGGATATTGACATTAATGGACAGGGGGTGATTAATCATAAGGTCTTGCAGGGAGATCATTTATTGCTCTATGTTGCTAGCCGAGTGGCTGTTGGCGGAGTCAATCAAGATTAACCCGAGTGGGTTAGTCACTCTTGGATGACGATGGATGATGTGATGGGTTTATTAGCCAAATTCTCTTTTAAGAATCACTCTACATTCTTAGCAAGTGGATTTGCAAATAGAAAAATAAGGAGTTGTCATTAATGGGTGAATCTGTTTGCAAGACAGAGAGGAGCCAACGGACTGTCACAGTAAAAGATAAACTACCAAAAAATAGCCACTGGAAATGTTTAACTCTAGATTAATCTTGTTCCATTCAATAGGGCAATTATGTTCTTAGTAATTCAGGTGTTTGATAGACTGGGAAGAAAAGATTTGTCCTGTTTAACAATTACACAAATTGTATAATGGGACTTTTTTTTTTTTAAATTTAGAGTTAAATACTGTTTTGTTTTGTTTTTCCCCCAGGGAAACTTTGTAATTCAGGCTGACTTCCTTCTCACACCAAACCTTGTTCTGACCTACCTTTTACCTCTTTAGAGCCATTAAGTAGCCAGGAAATGCACAGCAACTTAGTAGTAACCTTGGTAAAGAGAATTCTAAAGAGGATTGATTCATTTGGGAAGGAAAAAAAGTCAGACAGAACTTGCCAAAGGTAAATGTCAGTGATTCCTGAGTTACCTGCTCCTTTCATCGATTCTATCACTATTTTTCTTCATTAGAACAGATTGAGAGCAGACTGCCTTATTAAGATGTTTAGCATATCAGATAGTGTGTTAGTAAATGACCCTCCGTGGCTGCCTGATTCTTTTGCACTTGGGGAGCCAGGACAGTAATCAGGTTGTCCTTTCAGCTCAGGACAGTAAGCACGTTGTGGATGGAGTACATAGGGTGTGGGCACGGGATGGGGCTGTGGTGGGATTAGTCATCTCGTGGTATTAAGCCCTCAGCTCTTGGTACCCAGACCACTTCCGTTGCCTCTTGTCCCAGTGTGGGCATTTCCTCTCTGGGCTGGAACGGTGTGGTGTGTGCTTGTGGGAGAAGACTTTCTGTGGATCGAATAAACTTGTGGTGTTTGGCCAGACAGCAGTTACATCATTAAGTGAATATACTGTTTGAAACTGCTAACCAGGTGTTCTGTCTAAACCAATTGTTCCCACCTGGGGAAGGTTTTGCCCCCTGGTTTACATGGGGCAGTATCTGGAGACAGTTTTCGTTGCTGCATTAGCTGGAGTATTATTGGTGGGCAGGGGCCAGGGATACTGCTGAACACCTGCAGCATACAGAACAGTCTCTCACAGCAAGGAATTATGTGGCCCAAAATGTCCATAATGCTGAGGCTGAGAAACCCAGGTCTAAACTGTGACCATCTCTGGGCTTACCAAGGGCATATTTAGGTCTTTACTGATTTTCCTGGCTGAATGGTTTTCGGTTTTTTATTGTTACAGACACCCCACCTCCTTTTGCTGGAGTGATAATTATGGATGTAAGAGGCTGTAGGATGTCTAGTGAATTATTATTCTAACGTTAGAATAAGACAAGGATATTTATTCCTTTATGAAAGTGTAGTAGGGTGAGTGACTTGGGTAAGGCTGCAGGGTGCCCAGCTCCCTGAAACAGATGAACCTGCAATCTCAGTGGCTTGATGCTGTCCCACTGGATTCATAAGAGCTATGAGGACCAATGTCCCAGCTCAAGCAGTCAGGTAGGAGGAGTTCCCTCTTAGTTGTGGAAAGGTCAGCCGTCTATTCTATTCAGGTCTTTAGCTGATGGGTCAAGGCCCACCTGCTCTGAGTGAAGACAATGTGCTTTACCCTGTCTATGAATTCAAGTATTTAATCTCATTCAGAAACACAGACACACCCAGAATATGTTTGACCAAATATCTGGACACCCTGTGGCCAAGTCAAGTTGACACCTAAAATTAACCATAACAACTGTTGAGCTCGAGGATCTTTTCACACGTTGTTTAGCCATTTGGATATCCTTTTTTGAGAAGTGCTTGTTTAAGTATCTTGCCCATGTTATTTTTCTCTCTTTCCTACTGATTTGTAGGAGTTCTTTATTAATCCTGCATTAGTTATGTGTTGCAAACAGGTTTGTTAGTTTGCAATGTAGGCTTCAGGAGTGGAAGGGAGTTCACACGTAACTGATAAGTAGGGCATTTATGTCAGCGTAGTGTAAAAGTGGGCTTGGTTTTCCTGCAGTTTTCCCAGCATGTTAATGCTTTACAATGTGTAATCCACAAATTTCATTAGCACAGCTGAAAAGCATGGGCTGCAGGGGAGCTGGGGCTGTTCCAATGCCCACGCACTTCATGTTCTTGCTGTTGGGTCACAGGCTTTGTCCTGGAAGTTTGTCACTGTCCCCTCCATCCTTGGATATGTGTCCTTGTCCCATTAATGTAGCAATCTCAACCCTTTCTCATTTTCCTCTCCCTCAAGTTACCTTCACCTTTTAATTTTTTGGAGGAAAAGTTATACATTTATCGTAGTATAGTTGGCTTGAACAACATGGGTTTGAGCTGTACAGTCCACGTGTAAGTGGATGTTTTTCAATATACGCACAGTCCTGTAAGTGTATTTTCTCTTTCTATGATCTTCTTAATACCATTTTCTTCTCTCTAGCTTACTTTATTGTGAGAATACAGAATATAATATATATAACATACAAAATATGTGTTAATTGACTGTTTATATTATTGGTAAGGTCAACAGTAGGCTATTAAGATTTTGGGGAGTCGAGTTATGAGGATTTCCACTGTGTGTGTGTTTGTGGGGGGGGTTGGCGCCTCTAGCCCTCATGTTGTTCAGGAGTCAACTGTATCTATTAAGTATGTAACATGTCTTTTAATATGTGCTAATGTTATAGTTAGGATTATTGTTATTTTTGTTAGTTACATGGCTTTGAGACTTCTTTCCCAAACCTTAGTTTTTATAAGCCCTGTTAATTTTGGTACATGATTTTACAAAATGGGAAGCTTTTGGGAGCACACATGTGATATCATAGCAGAAATTCCTGTTTCTTCTTACATTTTGTGGCTTGTAGTTTTGCTCTTCTAAATGGCTCTTTGAACAAAAATCTTTAATATTACTAAGCTAAATTTATCAATTTTCGTGTCTCTAGTAGGAAATCTTCTTTCTCCACATGGGTGGTATAAATGTATTCCCCATTATTGTTATCCAACAGCTTTTGTGGTTTTGCCTTTTACATGCAGGTCCTTCATTCGGCACGAATTGGTTCATGTGTAGAGCGTGTGCTGGAAGACATTCTTTTTTCTCCTTGTGGGTCAGCAGTTGTCTCAGAGCCATTTATGGATGTCTGTTCCCTGCCCCCCTGGTTCATGGAGCCACCCTGACCATTCATCAGGTTTCTCTCTGTTGCTGGCTTCTCTGCCCGATTTTGTTTGTTTGTTGATTACCTTTTCTACACCTTTAAAATGATGATGGTATTACTGATGCTATGGTATTTTCTGTTTGGCAGTTTCTCTAATTCGTTGTTGTTCTTTGAGAGTGTTTTGGCTACTTGTGGCACATTATACTTGCATATAAATTTTAGAATCAGCTTATCTAGTTCTACAGAACAAATATGTTGAGATTTGGATTGAAGTGGTGTTGACTAGATCATCTTGAGGAAAATTTACATCTTTACGATGTTCTCTAATCTATGAACATGGTATATATATTTCCTTTATTTACATTCTCTTTAATGTTTTTCTATAAAGTGTTATAGTTTCCTCTGTTGGGATCTCTTTTTACCTTTTGTAAGATTTATTCTTATATTTTATGTGTCTCAAAGCTAATGTAAATGATATCTTTTAAAATTTACATTTTTTTCTAAATGTTGTTTGTATGAATGTTTTTATTTAAATTGTGAGACTTCAAGGAAATTTTGCCCTAGGCTATGCCATGTTCACTACCCATTGTTACTAGGGATGCTTTAGCATGAGTAGGTAAGACTGGTAATTTTAGTTGTCTCACTCCCCATATCCAGCAAAAATTACACATGCACTTTTAATTTCAACAACACGCTTAGAATGTTGATAGCATCGCACAAAATGCCATGGAGTGATGACAGTGTTTTTTCTTTTCTTTATAGTCATTTGTCATTATTTTCCTTTTCTTTATTATGTTCTTCTTTTTGGCTTCACTTAGTGCATCTTTTTCGTTCTTGTCTTTTCCCCTCCTGTTTTAGTCTGTTTTGTGTTGCTATAATAGAAATACCTGAGACTGGGTAATTTATAAAGGAAAGAGGTTTATTTGGTTTACGATTCTGGGACAGCTGCATCTGGCACAGGCCTCAGGCTGCTTCTACTCATGGCGGAAAGCAGCAGGCAGCTGGTGGGTACAAGCACATCACATGGTGAGAGGAAGCAAGAGAGAGGGAGAAGGTGCCAGGGTCTTTATAAAAAACCACCTCTCGTGATAACTAATAGAGCGAGATCTCACTCATTACTCCCTCTCTCCCAGGGAGAGCATTACCCATGACTCAATCAGTTTCCAACACTGCCACATTGGAGATCAAATTTCCACATGAGTTTTGGAGGGGACAACACATCCAAACTCCATCACCTCCCTCCCTCCCTTCCTTCCCCTGTTAGTTGCTATTTGTGGCATGTATAGAGG